TTGACTGGACTGGGCGGAGCCGGGTATGCCAGCTAGTTGTAAACTAAACATGTCGATCTACATATGGGAATGATCTATAAGATGGTGTATTGTAGTGTAAAAAGATTTTGAATGAAAGTTTCTCACTTCTTCAACTTTCTTCTTTTCAGCTGTCACATATACACCACCGGTCGAAGTGAATGTTTTTGATACAGCTTCTCCAAGCGAAGAACGATCCAAAGAGATGACCACTTCCTGAAAAGTAAAGGCTCATTTCGATGAAGCGATAAAGTCCAGGTAAGAACCTACTCCTTTCTCCTTCTCTATAAACACGTCCACTTTGATGACGATCTGCGTTCGGTGCTTGTCATTGGCTTCAATGCTGAAGAAGGTACCAGGTGAGAATAGTTTTCCCATTTCACTGTTACCAACCTAGAAATTAGGACGTTGGTGGAGGTAGTCAAAAAAGTATATGGTCCAAATCAGACCAATGTGAAAACAGTTATTTATGAGGCAAATAGTACAGAAACCTACCACTATAACATTGTGGTTTTTCTGACATGGTTGGCCTTTCGTTTTCTGCGATGCCTGAATTATTAAGATGTGGAAAAAAATCAGGCAATTAACATAAACGGACCAAAGCCGCTGTTTTGACAGAAAAGCGTAATGGAATTTCCACTAACCGTGGATTCCCGCATACATCGACATTGGTCGGTGGTGTGCAAATCCACTCGAGCTCGCACTGACGTTCTTGTTTCTGCTCCATTTTCTGCCACCACTTCTGCCGAGCACATCACATCGTCTCCAATGTGCGAGCGATGATAAAAGCAGGTAGTGCTTTTTTACTTGAAAAAGTATAAGCTTGTCTGCATGTACAGTTTGAGCTAATCGGGAGGAATAGTGCCACAAACGTAATCCTCAACGCGGAAGCTTCACCCAAGGCACAGACTGGCACTTTGCCAATCAGGCATAGAGGAAAATGAGTGCGGAAGGGACATGGTCAAATCAAGAATGCCTTAGCAGCTATCTAGCAATTGCGAAACAGAATATCGGCGATATAAATATGCTAGTTTTTGAATCCCGTTATGACAAAATGCAAACAGCCCTCAGGGAGTGTGAATCTCGATACGTTATGCTAACAAGATCTGTTTCACTTCCACACACACTGATATTATTTTTGCATTCAAGTGCTGCTTTTCACCTTTGCGATCATTTGTAAATGTTGCGGTTACCACAAATAACATTATTTCTCTGTGTGATCCATTGCTGTCGCGGTAAGCATCTTTCACATATTTTCAACAGACTATGGAAAAATTAGAAAATCCCTTGAAAATTGGGTGGCTGCATTGTATATAATCACCCACAAAGACTATGAGTGACTCCAAGAAAGGGATAAATGACTTATACGTGTGAATTCGACATCTTCCAACTTGTAGAAATAAATAGTGGTAGAGCGAGAGATGTACATACAACCAGCTCAATCATGGAAATGGTACTCAGTCATACCCAATCCATCTTATTCTCCCTATAGGGAGAATAAGATACAGTTGGTTGAACTATAACTACCAACTATAGTTGGTTGAAGACAAAAGGTACGACCTTGCGTGACTAGGCTGCACGTCAGTGGCCGTATTCATCAACTAACCCTGAGGGTTAAACT